AGAGTAATAAAATAAAAAAAAAAAAAAAAAAAAAGAAATGCGATAGAGAATATAAAGAAACATATTAAAAAGAGAGAAAGAGAAACAGATAAAATATAAAAAAAACATACGAACACATAGTTCAATTTCATATCGACTTAGGATCAGAAAAGTTGAACGAGTTGAATTAAGTTGAGAGCTCGATTTCCACATCGGAAATGCGAATATCGTTTGGGGGTATGGGGGTACAGCAGGTAGGATGAGGTCAAGAAGAGGTCAGCCTTGATTCGAGTGGCCGACGGAAAAAAGAGGCAGAATAATAAATCGAAAAAAAAAAGGGAAAAAGAATAACGATCGCGATAAGAATTTTTTTACGGAAATTACAACGAAAAAAAAGAAAAGTAGGGAATAATACGCGAACTATATCATTTTTATTTTTTTACCCTTTTTCTTTTTTTTTTTTTTTATTTTATTACTCTGATCCGAGTAAATTTACTTAAGAGATGTAATACTTTTTTTTATCTACTATTTTGTACATTAATAATGTAGTTAGATAGATCATCGTCGTAAGGAAAGTAATGTAATTGTATATAAATTATCAATTTAAAGAGAAATTAATATTTTATTTATTTCGTGTAGAAATAATTTCAAATAAAAACTAAATATTCAAATTATTTTTTCATGCTGAGTTTATGTAAACAAAAAGATAAATATTGTGCATCGATAATACATATATATATTTAAAGGAATAGTAAACATAACTTGTTATGCATCATCGTTTACGATCCCAGTGCATTCTCGATGAAAGAAATAAACAAACTTAATAAAAATTAAAGATCAAAAAGATTGTCAAGAATACAATTAAGTTTTGCGTTCTTACTTTCAAATATTATTCCTTCCTTGACACTTGATATTTAATATCATTAATTTAATTTTGTTAACGACGTCGATTTGTGACTCGTACATGAACAATAGATTCGTTTACAACAAAAATCTCTGGAATGGATTTTAAAAAGATTTCGTAATACGTTGTAGAAAAATAAAAAAACATTGAAGATAAATAATGATACGTAAAGCCAATAACGGATTACCAATTTGATTTATTGATCACATCAAATGTCTTTCAACGAGTTACTGATTTATTTCAATCGTTTGTAATTCAAAACTAGAGAAGAATATAAAGAAAAACAAATATTTTGTTAATTAAACCCTTGACATATGAAAAAAAAAAACTTGGATACGTTTTGTTCGTGTAATATTTTCGTCGTTAAAAAAAATTTACATCTTTGAAACGACGAAAAGGTATTTTTTTTTTTTAACAAAAATTAAATTTACTCTTTGCGCGGTTATAAATCAAATATTAAAAGAAATACAATTATATATGAAGCTACGGTGACTGGCATAAATATATTCCGACAGCATCTAAATCCAAAAAATCATTCCCACACATATACATATATGTGTGGGAATCATTTATCATTTATCATTTATAAAAATAATGACTTTTCTCTACTTTAATAAGTTAAAACATTTTTGTTTTAGAGGCTACAAAAATATAACACTTATTTATATAACTATATTTTTTATTAATAAAATGTAATTAAGATTATATTCAATTTTACCAAATCGCAAATTATTCTATATTTATTGCATTTCAAATAAGTATTCTTACTTAATTAAAAAACAAAGAAAAAAAAATCATTATTTCCATAAATAATATAAAGATGCATAGCAACAATAATTCTTTAGATTACTTCGTATCCGAATATTTATACCAGTCACCGTATACATTTACATTTATTCAGTATCAAAGTATGAATATTATAAGAATAATTCCTGTAACTTATCCAAAAAAATTGTTATGTAAATTTTCTATTATTTGTAAAGCTTACATAAACTTAAATTAATTCAAGGTTAATTAAATATAATTTTGTTTTTTTAAACAATCCATTGTATTTCATATTATATATATATATAGACAACGTGAAAAAAGTTGACGAATCTAAAAAAATAAAGAACAAAAAAACCTCGACGTTTAACATTTTTCTTCTTAAACTCGTATCGGATGGTAATAATATTTTATAATACAAAAAATAGAAAAAAAAAAAAAAAAGAAAAATATTCACCACACAGAAAAAATTAAAATTTATCTCTCCTGCCAAGAGGAAGGAAAAAAAATTGATATGTATTTATTTTCTAAGAGTGTATTTATTTTGCATGATTATAGTCGCGGTCGTCGTCGCATTCTTCATCTGCTGGGCGCCATTTCACGTTCAACGATTGATCGCCATTTATGGTACCAATAGCGAAGATCACTTCACGTCCTACAGTAAATGGGTAGAATCCCTTAATCTATTGATGACCTATGTGTCTGGAGTCCTCTATTATGTCTCCACTACCATCAATCCGATTCTTTACAACATCATGTCGAATAAATTTCGAGTGGCTTTTATGGTGAGTTAAGAAATCCTCGCATACACACAAGATCAAGTTCATTGAATTTCATCTTTCTTTATTTCTTTCGATAGAATATTTAAAATAATCGATAGGTAGGAGATAACATCAAATTGGTCTTTTTTTTTCTTTTTAAAATAACACGCTAGGGTACATTGTTATTCAATTTTTTAAGATACTCCTTCTCAGATCTTTCAAACGCGAATTGCAATAAAAAATATTTAAAAAAAGAAAACAAGTAAGTTGATTGGTGTATTGGAAACAGGATTATTATTATATCGATATACTTTTTCATTAGATCAACAAAATTTTTGTTAAGCCTTAATTGAATGATATATAACGTAGAAATCTTAGGGAGAATAAAAATGATGTAAATTATTTGATAAAAGGAAGAGATATAGGAAGAATAAAAAAAAAAAAAAAAAAATAAAATAAAATAAAATTGTATTCTTATATACCGTAATTTAAATACCATAATCCTGATCGAGTAGTTGTGATATTTTGTTTTTCTGTTGCATCTATTAGAATATTATTCGAAATTTGAATACGTAATGCGTAAATCGGAATATCAAATTTAAGGATGTATCCTGGAGAAAACTCTGAAGACATGTTCGAGTGTGTGCATAAGTATAATACAAGGATAATTTACATTTTGTCGAATCTATAGAATAAATAAAACTTTTCTCTCGTTCTTTCTTGTAATAAATCTTATTTTATACGTTATCGATAGAATTTAATGATTTTTTTGCAATTTACTATGTTATATGGAAATATTTATACAACCTTAAAAACGAAAACGTATTTGTACGTACATATATATATACCGAATTTCAAATACGTGAATTTCTATACACATACATATAACCAAAGATTTTTCCTTAACTTTTTCCAAACTCTCGACACAAGCTATGAAACAGACGTTAACTCACATATATGTATAATACATATATGTATTTCATATATTTACGGGAAAAAATATAAGAGATCAAACTTTTTTTCTTACATCTTCTATGTTTCCTACTTTTCTTTATCCCTCCCTTCTTATTTCTTTCTTTTTTCTTTTTCTTTTATTTTGCCAAAATTTTACTTTGATTTTCATATAAATGAAAGTGCGTTGGCGAAAATGATAAAAATTAATATTAAAAAAATCGAATAATCAAAGAGAGGAAAAGATTTATCAATTATTTTTCGAACTTTTAAATTGGAAAAAAAGAAAACAAAACAAAACAAAAAACAAATAGCCAATATGTATGTAGTTATTCGTATACCACCTTGCAAAATGTAAAAATAATTAAAATATTCGTAATCGAATATATTTTTTTGGGTTGATTCACAATATCGATCGATAAAACTTTTAGGGTGAACTTTTACGCGTCACGTTTAATATTTAACTTCATTTCGCGGGAAACGATATGAAATAGGGTGAAAAATTCGTCAAGCGAATAATAATCGTGGAAACACATTTTTCTCTTTTTCCTATTCTTTTTTTCTTTTTCTTTGAAGAATACTTCACAAATAGAAAATTACATTGGGATTACACACTTCTAGCACGAACTAACTAAACAGATATTCGAACCGTGGAAAATCGAGTAGTAACGAACCTGATATGAAAATAAAATTGTAAGTGCTAGGAAATTTCTTTAGTCCTACTTGTTTCAATGAAAAAAAAAGAAAAAATATCGATGAAAATTAATTCAAAAGAAAATGTAAGAGAGAAATATTCAATTGTTTAAAGAATACGAAAAAGTCAATTAAATAATGACTATTATTTCTTATAATTACTATTACATTTTTGTTACTTGTCAAATCTCATTTTTTTCCTGAACGATTTTTTTTTAACTTTTAACAATTTCGTATGAATCTAATACGATGATATTTTAAAAATTAAAAACCAATCGTTTTTATTTTTGTTATTCATTGTTGTAAAAGTTCATAGTTCAATATGCATCCGTAGTGTGAATAATAAAAATACGAGAGAAAACGTTTCGATTTAGATGTCCTTGAACGACGCAAGATCTGTTTAGGTAAAAAAAAAAAAAAAGAGACAAATGGTTCCGTATGGTCTTTCTTTATCAGATGATCTTAGGCCAAAAATGGATAGAGATCGAACCCACTCAAAAAATATGAGTGAAAATGAAAGAGAATGATAGTATGAAGAAAGGAAAACATATGTACTTGGTTAAAGAATAGACGAAGGACAATGCCAACCTGAGATGTAGTCACGTACGCATCATGTTGAATAAATTGAAGATCATATTTTAGAACATAAGTCAGTTAATATTCCTCAGAAACCCCTTCCTTAAAGTATCTATCATAATATCATTAACCCTTTAGCTACTGGCCATGACAGTACGGTGGATATATGCTTTCGTATACCATATAAACGAAAATAAATATGTAACTAGAAAACATATTTTCGACAAAAAACGCTTTACCAAAATGAACAACAACATTATTTATGTACATAATTTTTTATAACAATGAAGATAAATAAAATTAGTTTAAAAATATTGCTTGGAGACAGAGAGAGAGAGAATGATTTATAGTAAAATCATTGAAAGTAGTTTATGGATTAATGATATCTCCAATGAGTATCTTTCTAAAAATATATTAATAAAACTTATGACAAATAAAATAACATAAATATTTGGATCTCTCTTATAGGAAACTTTATCGAGAAGCTGCAGGATGTCAGGTCTTAGACAGAATCAACGTTTTTATTCGAGTCTATCCCGTTCCCAACAAAGGACAGTTGGTTCGAGAACAGCAGCAACAGCAGGAACGGGTATGGTACAGGATAGTACCGAATGTTCTGGAAATTCGGCAAGAGATGACAGTCCACGTCGTTCTTTTAAATCGTCTGTTACTACCACATTGGAAAGACCCTCGAAACAAACGACGGGGTTGAACTTAGACGAAAAAACAAAACGCGATACGAGAGATACGAAAATGACAAGGATCGAAGAAAGATGTTCTTCTGAAAATAAATCGACTGACGAACGATCAAACAACGAACTTAGGTGGCCTGAATCAACGAGATATACAACTCTCAAGGTCACCGATATTGATGCTCAAGATAAAAGATGGCGACGTTTTTTTAAATGGCTACCTGGCTTAAAACATCTCAAATTTCCACGAAGAACAAATTATTCTTTGTCGTCCAACGACGAAAATATATCGAACGTCATCAATACAAATCGACAATGCGAATTTTCAATGACTTTGTGGAACATACACGAAGGCAACGAGCATGATCGTGTTAGAACGTAAATAATAATTAAATATGTGCTCGACAAAAAGTGCTCATTCATTTAATCCGAGGGATCTGTTTTATCGATAGTACATCTAATTTTCAATACGCATCATTAATAATAAATCCCAGCAATTAAATATCTCGATAATATTCTTTTTTTTTTTTAAAGGAAGAGACTTGAAAAAAAGATAATGAACTTTAATGAACTTTAATCAGTGCGAATGTCAATTTCGAGTCTAATAATATGTACAATGTGATTCAAATAAAGTATTACAAGCTGTCTTTTTTATAAACTAATTAAAATAACGATTTCATTTTTAGGATAATTAAATAGTATAAGGTGAATAATGATAGTATGCAATATATTTTATGAGGTAACTTTTAAAGAGAAAAAGGTAAGGGAATGCACAATATATAATAACAGCTAATTCGATTCGAACAAAAAATTAATACTATGTTTCATGAAAATAAAATCTAGGGAATCACCGTATCATTTAATTACTGGAAAATTGAACTAGATATCTTCATAAGTTTCTAAGAAAATAGTACGTAATACTTTATTTGAGCCACACATAAGTATACTAATAATTATATATATATGTAATATATATGAATGATTAATTAATATCACTGATAATGAATTTATTGTACGAATGTTTATAACAAAAATACTGTAAAAGAAAAATTATTAAAATGACAATTACTCACTGTGATAGTTAGAAAATATGTGAGAAAGATTTATCGTTAGGATTAGGAATATAATGTAAAGATAAAAATGAAATCACAAATATTATTGAGAAAATTGTTAATTAATAACACTCGAAATCATTTTTAATGAACTTTAGTTTTATGAGCTTTTTATAATAAATTTTTCGAGTTTAAATATTCAATAGCCGCATCATCGTCCCGAAGACTGAGCATTCTCGAATTATAAAAACACAATAACGTGTAATATACGTAATTTAAGGATAAGGGAGTGGGAACGCAATATGCACAAGATTATAGCCTTTTCTTTTCTTTTTTTTTTTTAAATAGCTAGGGAAAGAAAATCGATCGGCTTAAAGCCCACCCTTCGTATTTTTTCTCTCGAGTTAGTTTTCATTTTTACTTTAACATTTAACGCTCAGTGTTATGTGTATATGTTATTATTTATATAAATAAAAAAGTTAGTTGTAATAAGCATTATACTACGTATAATAAGTATAATAATTTTCTCTTCTTTCCTTGCCAATAAGAGTGTTATCTCTCTTTTTTACTATATTCGTTTGTATATTGTAAATAATCAATTAAAATAAAAGAATTTTTATATATAAAGTCACACATTGTTAAGTAAGGATTTGAAATAATCGCATGCTTAGAAAAATATTGTTACAATTGAAAAACTTTCATTAAACTGTCATAAGAGAAATTAAATTCTAAAATATTGAATTATAAAATAATTATTTGCAATTAAAATTGTGCGAACATTTAGATATAATGAAATTTATGGAATGTTCTCTATCAAAACTCGTCACGTTTAACTTGTGACAGTATTCTTCTATACTGTATAAAATGTATAAAAATGAATATTTTTAATGTAAATATATATTATTGTATGTTAAGACATTCTGGATCTCTAACACTCTCCTTTTCCTCGTCGGATGTATTTTAAAAAGAGAGAGAAAAAAAAGAGAAACATGTCGTTTACAATATACTGAGGTGAAGAATACGTCAAGGATAAAAAAAATAATTACGTTAATTAATAAGCGCACGTGAATCATTTATCATTCTACAAAAAATTACTCCATATAATGCTTAATAACAAATCGATTACATTGGTCATGGTGTTGCTAAAACAAGTATGCAAACATAAAAAAGGGAAATGAAAAACAAAAAAAACTGCAAAATACATTTTTTTTTCTTAGCATTACAATAAAAAAACACTTATGTGTGATAATGAGTTCTGAGAATATATATTATTTTTTATTTTTATTTTTATTTTTATTTTTATGTAAGATTGAGAGAAACATTTTTTTTCTTTCGTGTGAAACTAACAGATAAAATTTCTTTTTATACGTGAATATAAAATAACTCATAACAAAAGGATAAATAAAGACATATTTCACAAATAAACAAAAGTATCATTCATTTGGTACTTTTTCTCCATAGGAATATATATATATATATATATTATATATACATATATATATACATACATACATATATATATATATATATATATAATTATTTATATATTCAGTGACAATAAAGATTAGAAACATTGTGACATATGTATAGGAGATTGTCAGACGATGCCTGATGGAAACAAATATCGACAAGATTTTTCGGAATTTATAATGAAAATGATCAAATCTATTCGTAGATTATTTATTATTTTTTTTTTATTTTTTTTTTTATTTTTTATTATATAAAACAATTCATTTCAATCAGGCATCGTTTATTTGCTTAAAGCACTCAAGGTTACATAGTGAATTTTGTAAAAATACACTTAGTAAAATGCGCAGCGTTTGCTTTGAAATAAAATAATGATATAGAGATTTGGAATTATTTGCTATGCTAAATACAACAAAGTTTGACTCGTATATATCGGAGATTTAACGAAATATACGAATATACGGAGACATTGAACGTGCACGAGTTTAATTAAACGATTTTTTTGTTTTTTATAATATATAAAGCACAAAGTACAAAGCTTTTTCTTTTAGCGTTGTTGAAGATAATGATAAAATAATTAAAAAGAAAAAAAAAAGACAGATAAGTACCGATAAATTTGGTACGTCGTATTAATCTCGAACAAAAATTATGTATGTTTTTATGCATGATGTATTTTGCAGATTCTGCAAGTAATTTACTAATAAATGTGATAATGCTTTTCCACATATTTAACATGATTAAAATGTGTGATCTTAATATAATAATATCTTCTTTTTTGTTTTTAGCGTATTGATTAACGAATACGTCACGTTCGACTAAATGCATATAAATACGAAATAACATTGTATCATAAATTTATACATCCAAACGCGATGTGAATAGTATACACACACATATGCCTGTGTGCGTACAAAATAACCCGTACGCACGCACCCATATGGAACTAAACTAATGATAAAAAAAAATTCTTATATATCAATAATATTAATAAGCGTACAGTTCAGTGAATCCATAAATATATATATATAATATATTTTTATATATAATTATATATATATATATTTATATGTGTCACGCGAAAAATTGGAATGATTAATTTTATTTTCACATCGATTAAAAATCGCGTTTTGAAATTACTTTTACTTACGGTATACTTTCCAGACATTCCTTAATATGCTGCCAAGTTTGGAGACTCTGCAAATAATGATAACGAGATTATTCAATAAAATTCATACATAAATTTACAAATGAATACATTTGTTTGTATAAATTCAACTTTTACCTTTCTAGCTAGTTTAAATTGTAGAACACAGTAAGCTGCCAAGGTTTCTTTTAAATCGACGACCTTTTGGTGTTGAAATCTTTCTATATCTACCATAGCTTTGCTGGAAAAGGATCTACGCACATATGTTATAAATATAATAATTGTATTATTGTATAATTTAAAAATTATAGATAAAAAACAAGAAGAACATAAAATATATATATATACTTTAAGTCCTCATCAACTTGTTTCACCATCTCATTTTGCTGTGTGATTCTATGCTCCAATCGAAGAATTTTTAATTCTCTTACTTCTTCTGTATCGACCGATCCAAAAAGTCTGGACATTAATCCTGATTTTCCTATAATAATTTCCATGTATATTACATTTATATATTTTCATAAGATATTAAAATATTATGCACTTTAATGAAAATATATATATTCACAATTAGACAAAAATGTACCTTGTATCACCCTGTCCTTTTGTTCGCATGCAGCTATTAACGCATCTTGAGCTTCATCCCTAGCCACTTGTAAAGCTTCTCTTCGTCTAACGACAGCTTGTAAAGCTGAAGCACCAAAGAGCCATTCTTTTAATTGGTCTGCTATAAGTTCTTCTTCTTCAAGCGTGGTGTCAATCGTAGCTGCTAATGAGTCCAAGTAATGGCCTGATTTCTAAGAAAATATGCTGTAATGCAGTGTGCTTATAACCATCTGATTGTTTTTAATAAATTATCATATTGTAGATGCATGACAGCGTCTGTTTCAAAATTTTAAGAACAATAAGGTATCATATATGTATACATATATATATTAAATTATTACTACCTGCAAACCATCTCCCATTTCTTTTTCTATAGCGCTCCATTCACTGAACACACGACCATAATTCGCATGTAGTTTATATAAACTGTATTGCTTTTCCACAAGACGGGCTCGTACTCTAAGAAGATTGCAAAGGTTGTTCTAAAAAAAATATTACATACTTTTAGAAGTATTATATTTCGTAACTTTACCGTATTGAAATGTATTAAAATTTACCTGAAGTTCAATTCCATAATTCTTTAATGTTTCAAATCGTTTATCTGGTTTTCTTAGACGAACAGCTACGCTAAGAGCTTTTAACTTGGACTCTGCTAAACGTAAATAACCTACAAAATAAAAATAGATCATATTTAATATCGTAATAAATGTAAAAGTAATTTTAATAAAATTATTTGACTACTTACTTATCTCTTGAATATGTTCCCTCCAGCCTTCCCGTTGTTGTAAAAATCCCATGAAGTGTTCATTTTGAGAGAGAACAGGATGCGATGCTACTCTTAGTAGGAAATTCTGCGCATAATATGTAAGAGAATTTAATTAAAGAATAGAAGATAATAAAATTAGTTAGAACGATGAGTATCGTACCTCTAATCCTGCTCTTCGTCGGTCTACAAAATCTGGATCAAATGTATCTGTTGTGACTTTCTGCCATGCGTATAATACTCTTTTCTCTGGCAATGGTGGTAAAACGATATATGGATATGCAATGTCTAAGTATGTTCTTAATAATTCAAAATCAGTATAACGTCTCCATAAAGAACTTGTGATACTTAAAGCACCTTTGAAAGTAAGATCTGTAACTCTATAAAAGTATGCAGCTTTTAACTTACATTGCTCTTGCAAATTCAAACTATCACAAATATATTCTACAATAAACATAATGTAAAATACATTAATACATACTTGGTTTCGATAAGGTACACAGTATAGAATTCTCTTAAATTTAATGGTCCATTAGGTCGCTTTTCAGCCTCCACTATTAAAATTTCCATATGATCCAATAAAGAATCCTAAAATAAATATTTTCATGTAAACAATTTTCATTTGTATAAGACATTAACACATCAAAATGATATTAAGAATAACGATAAAAATTAATGTAAAATAATATGTAATAAACAATTGAACAATCCAAAGTGTTTCAAAATAAATATCTTTCTAACTGAATAAAATGTGAAATAAATGACTATCGACGAAATCAATATCGTGTATATTACATATACAGTCAGTAAACACACAACACGTTTGTATTCTATGTGAAATGAAGGGTAATGAACGTATTGATTTTACCACATAGATTTACTAAAGTTAAATGTAGCACGCACGTATACATGTTTAAAAATATCTATGCGTACCTCTTTCGATGCCTCCGAAGTGCTCATATTTGCATTAGCCTCGTTACAATAATTACCGTTTTGAAATACGTCTTCCATGACTCCGAACGTAAGATTAAACAGTTCGGTAATAATTGAGGACTCGTCAAACAGCTTTCATATCACTCCGTTCTAGACACGGGACAGAGCGGGATACGCAGGGACACGTACGTGCAGGCTGACCAAACGTCAAACTTCAAGGGAGTCAAACTTGTGCAACATAAATCTTTAACCAAAGAATACAGAAGTACATAGAAGCTCACAACCTTTTTATCTACCCAGTTTCATTTTAGTTATTAACGGGACCACCAGTAAGCGGTAGTAAGTACTGTAATACTGTATTCTTTGATAGTATTGTACCGTTTTTTGATAGTATTATACCACTCTTTGATAGTGTACTGTCATCGCGTTAATTACATACTATCGCCCACTGGTGGTTTCGGTAGTAACTAAAATAAAACTGTGTAGATAAAAAAGGGACTTGTAAGTTTCTATGTACCGATTGGAGGTTTTTGTACTTATTATGCTATTTCAAGATTTTAATATTTGATGGCAGGATAGTTTCGTAGATCATATTGATATCTGCAATCGATCGGTAAGTTATCTACGCGTATAATAATTTATGAATACTTTTTATTAGCTGTTACTGTGTTAAAACACAGGTGTACACCCTCTGAGTTAACTAATATGTACTGTATTTTCTAGTTGTAAGAGGATTTAAACTGAATATAATTTAAACTTTTTCTTAATTTTTTTTTTAAAAATATGTATATAATAAAATGTTTTGTGTTATTAATCGGTAAGATATTAAAATATATACGAATTATTGCAACAGTAAATTCGCTTTAAATAATATTTTTTCAAAATGCATTTTTTTCGAAGTTCAAATAAAATGAAATTTTATTATTATTATTATTATATTATTATTATTTACAATAATCATATCAATTAATTACAACGAAGTATAATAGAACGCGAATGAA